AAATTAAATCTGATTGCAGCTTGGATTAGCATTTATGCTTGTGGAAGATAGTTTGGAGAGGAAGATAAGTATCTTAAACTCCATGAAATTGAACAATGAGATTATATGGTTTATAGCTAATTTTAAAGTCTCAGTTTTAAAGGGCAGATTTTTATATTGTAAGCTTTCAATGTATTCAATACTTTCTCTCTTATTGACTGAAATATCCTAGAGATAATGACTGGATAAATTTAGGAGGCATTAAATGTAATGTTTTCTACCTTGATACCTAGCATGTTAAAAGTGAAAGCAGTGTAGATTCCCGTGTTAATGGTTCCATTGCAGTTTCTCTTAAATTTCCTAAAAGAGCTCCAGTTATAGAAGATTGTAACATTTGGTTAGTATGCAGTTGTTACGCCTTTCATAGAAAATGAAGTCAGTGTATTTTTCAATAATCAATTAAAGTGTCATGCCTTGACCCTTGAAATGGAGTCATTGATGTGACAGAGAAAAACAGGAAAATAATTTGGTAAGGGTGTGTGTGTGTGTGTGTGTGTGTGTGTACGTGTACACAGACTTGTTACTGATCTACAAATGAGCCCTCATACATAACCACGGTACTTTTATGAATTATTTTGCATTTCTGTTGTAAAAGATCTGTCTACCACGTTTTCTAGGAACTTTAAGCCTAAGGCAGAACTCAAGGTTTTGGAGCCTGTGTAAAATAATTTATAGCACCTTTCCAGTAAGTCTTGCCCAAACCCTTATTCTATTAATTAAACATCCTGTGGCAATCTGGTATATCTTAAAGATTTAAAAGTATGTTACATTAGAAGACTAGAAAACATGGACTATTAAGATTGAAGAAAATTAGCTTTTATTTTTTTTAAAAAAATAAGACATTTGTTCTGAGATGACATTTATTTTGCTGTGAAGATACAGGCTTTTAAGCGTGGTCATGTTCTGTGCCTGAATGAGATTGTGGGGTTGGGAGTCCTGTACTGTGAAATGTCTGTTTTAAATATGGAAGTGTTTCTTGTGGCCTCCAGTGGAAGTGGTTCACATGTGTCTGTGTGGGAACAGCCTCTTGCATGGCTGTGGTGCTGGGAGAAGGTAGTGGCCCGTCACATTCACATAACATGAGGCCTTGTTCCACAGCCAGTTGTCTCTTTTAGACTTACGTGGTTAAGAGATATATGGACTCAACAGTACCATACGTCTTATTGGCAAGATATTTTGAATATGATTTTTTTGTTGTTGTTGAATAGTATTTCCTGGGAGATGGTGATCTTGATTTTTAATTTTCTAGGAATCTATTACTTAAATCGGGAGAAAGTTGCTGGGAGAGAACAAGGAGGGAAGTGTGTGCTATGTACCACTATATTATGTTCTTAATTTTCTGACATAGGGACAGTTCTTAGAGAAAAATCTTGGTGTTTGCTGATAGCTCTATTCTTACTGCCAGTGGCCTAAGCAAATGATGTAACTTTTTCTATGGTAGAGTACTCTCATCTGAAGATTTTTGTGTTGAAAGTTAGTTGTTGGTGACACCGCATTTGGCAGTGAAGGTATGAATGTGAGAAGGTGTTTTGGAACATTAGCAATTATGGCGTTGGATGGTGGATAAAGAAATAGATATATAAATATTAGACCGATGCACAGTTTTCCAGTGTATGTTATTTTCCATATAAAGATATAGAACATTTCATAAAATGTTCCCAGACCATTTAAAACTCAAAGAAATGCAGCTGATGCAATGAAATACATAGAGTACTTGTAAAAACATACAGACACGCAAGTGGATTGCTGCCAGACAGAAAATTTAAAGGCGGTTTGCTTAACTGCAGGGTGCTAGGTTTTGTACGTGTGCCATGCTGAAACTGTTAGTAAGGCGGGTGTTGTGTTGCTTGAGAAAAGCAGATTGTATTTGGACCTTTTTAACTCAGATGTTTCCAATGTCGATATTTTGGTGACATTATGGCATTATGATCAACTCAATGTGAAAAAAGATGATTTCAACCTACTGTGCAAAACAGACATTTTAAGAAAATTCAAACAAATTATTTTCAGTTTTTGTGTTAATTTTTACAAAATGGCTTGCATAGTTTTATTAACTATCAGACAGGATCTTTGAGCTAATTGAATGGAACTTTATAGGTTGGGCTTTGGTTTTAAAAAACACTGCCTTTTTTTTTAAAATATTGCTTTAGAGAGTGTTAAGGACCCATGAAGTTTGCTTTTGTAAACCTCAGGGCCTTAAAGAAAGGAAATCAAAAGTTTTATACTTGAATCATAGTAAATAATAATCCATGTATTATCTTGGAACATGATTCTGTTAAAATCTGGAAATCTCACTCTACGGTTCGTCTTAGGACAGTTGAAGGAATTTAGTGGATGTTCTTTATTATGTTGCCTACCATTGAGGCAGTGTTTAGGGTAGTATGATTTCAGTGACCCCTATCTTGGTATTCCATGGTCGTCTTTACCTTCATTGTATGAAAATAGGTTGATTTTTCTTTCAGCCATCTTTCCTTCTCTTTTTTCAATTCTACTATGTTGTATATATGAATAAAATACATTTTAAAAATAAGTTAATTATTAATATAGTTGGTTAAAGAGATTTAGAAACTTTCCTTCTCCCACCTGTAAAGAAGAAACTTATTTTTTAAATTGAAGAATATACCACAAATTTTGGTTTCTGATGTTCATCCCCTTACAAAATGGTGATAAAAAATAAAGTCTTTGGTTTTATTCCATCTGTATTTCCATTGGTATTTTGTGGTTCCCCAAAACACAAACTACTCAAGACAGAGGACATGGTATTAAAGGTTTATATGTGAGTCATTTCTTTATGAAGTTTTCTGGTTGAAGAGTAAGTATTAACCACATGACAACTGGAAGAAAAAGAAAATGCCTTAGATTATTTTGTGGCTTTCCCAATCTCTGTTTTACTGTGTCCCTCAGTGGCTTAGAGTACATCTCTCTCTCCTTTTTTTTTTTTTTTGGTTTTAAATCCTAAAATACCAGTTTTTTTCTGGACTAAGTCATTTATGCATGTTTTAGGAATTACAGCCATGGCCTTCCTTTTTAGTCCTCCCTGACCCCCACCCCGATAGCACACTTCTAGAGGTTTGTGGGGCATGTGGATGTCCCTTTGCATCCTGCTGGCTAATTCTTCCTTGTAGACCTAGTGCTTTTCATGCCACACCATTAGCGCCCTCTGGCCTCTTGTCTCAAGAGGGCAAGTCCTTGTGTGATTTCAGCCCTTCAGGCCAGAGAGAAGCAACAGCATCTTCATCTAGCCCACCAGGGCATCCTTGCCGGGGGGGATTGCTCCAGAATTCTGCTAGTCACAGTCTAAACACATCATTTGTCTTTTCTAGTATTTTAAGATGAGAGTAAAGAAAGAAATTGATCCCTGATTTTTAAGTCAACCGGAAGACACCTCAAGAGCTGAAAAGATCTACAGATAGTTTCAACTGTTTTGCACTACCCACTTTGGGAAGCTCTGCTTTTACTATGACCTTTTGAATATTCCTGCTTTTGTTATTAGTCTTGGGTTTTGAAAAATAACATCTGTTAACTGTAATGACTTGAAAACTGGTATTTCTAACATTTAAATGTAGTATGTGAATAGGCCCTTAGTTTTCTCCCTTTTTGATTCTTCACTGCAGAACAATTACTGGCATTTTTGTGTTGTGATTTGGGTGCTTTTAACTTCTACATGGATTCACTTTTACAGAGAAGTAAACTGGTGTTTTAAAAGATAGATATAAAAAGCGAGTAATATATATTGTGATCATGATGAGAGGGGACCCTCAAATGTTGTGCTTTTAAATAAGCCTTTTAGGGGCCAGCCTGGTGGCGCATCAGTTAAGTTCACATGTTCCGCTTCGACAGCCTGGGGTTCACCAGCTGGGAGCCTGGGTGCCGACATAGCACCGCTTGGCAAGCCATGCTGTGGTAGGCATCCCACATGTAAAGCAGAGGAAGGTGGGCACGGATGTTAGCTCAGGGACAGTCTTCCTCAGTAAAAACAGGGGGATTGGCAGCAGATGTTAGCTCAGGGCTAATCGTTCTCAAAAAAGTAAAATAAAATAAGCCTTTTGCATTGATATGTGATTTCTCAGATAGATATTATTCTGATCACTTCTCTTAATGCGTCTCTGAGGAACCAAATCTTCCTCTTATTAGAAAAGATTGAATGTTTTCCTAGCCGATAGCAAATGGAGTGCTAATAGCTTTTAATTAGTACACTTCTGTATTGACTTTCAGACGATGGCGTTGGATTACCTTGCAATTATGATTGAAGGATCAAGTGACCCCTTTAGTAATTCCATTTTAAACAGATGGTCATGAAAGGTATTTTCACCTATGGATTTTTATAGTTTCTGAGCAAGTCTAATTATGTTAGATAGAACGTAATATCTCATATGATACTTTGTTTATGCTGATAAGCTAGCCGTGTATTGTTTGGTTCTGTCTTTAAGAAAACTTTATCTAGTTTTGTCTTTATTTTTAAGAGTTCATAAGTATTTTGGGAAGGATATATTTTATTTTTAAAAAGTAAATGTTTTGCATTTGTTCCTTGAAAGGATTCTTCTCCCCTCCACCAGTCTGAAACTGGTGTTTAAAAAAAGGTGGTTTATCAAGCTCACATCTGTAACTATGAAAAGAAGGCTCCTGATTAGAAAAGAAAAGTCAAGCAGGTCTAAGACTCATTTTCTCTGGAAAAATATATTGAGGGCAATTTGCAGCCAGCAAGATTTTTGCATTAGGTAATAGTCTAAAGTTAACAGTAGCATCAGGTCTTCAAAATTTTTCTTTTTTATATTTCTGGAGGAGGGTAATGGGAGTGCCTTGCCTAGTCCTTCCTTGTGCTCATCAACATAGCAGCCTCAGCTGCCCCCCTTGGATCCCCTGCCAGGGCTGCTATCATCTTCTGATCAAATATTAATGTGTGATCCTCTGCTTGCTCACTAATCCAAAGCCAATTAATATTATCTGTCAATTATTTACAGATCCTGAGGTGCAGAGGCAATTCCCGGAGGACTACAGTGACCAGGTTCGGAATGCGTAATTAATTTTTTACATGACAAAATTTATTTCAGAGTTGTTCAACATATTATTACTGTTCTTTTTACTGAAAGAGATAAATGAATTTTTAGAAGGGAAGAGAAACAGTAATTAGGACCCCAAGACAAAAAGTAAAACATATTGAAGTAAGATTGAAAATATTGGTGCTAGATTTAGGGTGTTACCTTCAGGGGGAAAATGCACAGAAAGTAAGGAAGAAAATCTATTACAAATTTTGCTTTTTACTTTTAGGTATTCTCCAGTCCTCCGTTCATTAGGAAATCCTTTTTGGATTGCCTGTGAACTTTTTTTTTTTTTTTAAATGCTATTTAAGCCGTCAAGAACCAGTGTAACAAAAAAGAAGGGAAGAGGAAAGTTGATAACATTTCCCGGAATTGGAAATAGATTATGAAACTATGTTATCATAGTACTTGAAGGAGAAGATACACATGCAGGAATGGTGTTTGGGGTAAGGGTGGTTTTAATGATGGTAGTGAAAGTTAAGGTTGGCCACTTGGTCCTGCCATCTCAAATTTCCTGCATTCTGCAAGCATGGAATGAAGTGGAAGGAAATATTTTACTCACAAAATAGTGCTGAAGTTCTGATGTTGGTCTACTCTTTATAATTAGATCTAAGTTATACATTCTGGATTCCAGTTTCTATCTCGAGAAATATTAGAGATGTTTTGCACTTTTGAGGCATCTTACATTTTTAGTTCAAATATGCAATTTGGTACTTTTTAAAAGCAGTTTTGAAATAAAAGCATCCTGATTACACTGAATAAAACAACTTCATAAAGCTGTTCATATGTGGGACATTGTACACAATAAAAACATGTTTCTGAAGTACATCCGTTTAATTTTGTCTATTAAAAAAATGTCCTTGAATGAAAATAAGTACAACAAGATAGAAACATCCAGTACAGCAGTAGTAACACCTTTCAGTGTGGCCTGTTGGATAGAGGGCAAAGCATCTGATACATCTTTATGAATATGGGGACATAATGTGACCAGGAATATAACTGGATAATCAGTATAATGAGATGCTTTGTAATGAGATTTTATTGTACAAGAACCCAAGAGAACTGATATGGTTTGCTTTGTATGTGATCTCAAGACTTTTAGATGAGATTTTAAAAAATATTACTCTTCTTACTCTACCGCTTGCTTCATCTTCCAACGGGAGAGTTGAATTTTTATCTTACCTTAAATTGATGTGAGATTGAGCCCTGTGGATTTAAACTATACAATCCAAAGATTATAGGACCTTTTTATTTTTTTTTCTCTAGACAATGTCTAAAGGGTGGAAAAGCTTAAAATATTGTTTAGAATAGACTTGAGGTCATAGCTCTTAAGAAAATCAATCTTTTAATATCTTGTTGTCTAGGTATGTAACCTTTGTGGTCCCATGATCTGAATCACCCAATGAGAAAAAATTTTGTGTGAGAAAACTTAAAATAACATACTTAACATCTGAGTTTATTCCTTTAAACATAGATTCTTACTATATCTGAAAATTTTTGAGCAACCTGATTTTTTTGGGTATGACTTTAAAAACTTGCATGTTAATGACCAAAAAAATTTAGGAAATATAGATAAAGCAAAAATAAACTTAAAAAAAGAATGAAAAGAAAGAAAATACAAATCATCTGTAATTTTACTGCTCAGAGATAACTGCTGTGGCAATTTGGTGTTTATTTCCATGTTTATTTCTCTTAGTATATGTGTCTGTATGTTTGGGAGAGTATATGTGTATATATACAGGTCCTACACATACCTATGTGTGTATATAGAGAAATATAGATTATTATCAATTCTGTCATTGCATATGGAGCCCACTTTACTGACTAGATAGTGTTATGTTATGAACTTAGTTCTCTTTACTTTGGTTAATGGATGATCTTACAAGTATTTCATACATTGAAATTGTATAATTTCATACATTAAATTGAATAATTTAAAATTACAGTAGGAATCTAAAAAATAATGATTGCTTTTATTTTAAAGTGCTCATAGGATGGGTGTTTGTTTTCTTTGTTTACATCAGTGATATAGTTTTGAAATTTGGAGGATGATATTCATGGACTAGATGTAGACTTACGAGGGTGTGTATATCACTGCCTTATTTAGCATCTCTTCCTGCTTAACACACGGTTTCCATTCTTTACCATGTATAACTCAAGAATGAAGGATGAATGAAAGATCTCCTTTGTATTTGGAGAAGTTACCTCCAAATTCCAAGAAATGTATTTGAGAGTTGATCTACTGGTCAAGGAAATGAGACCCGCATATTTTTTATTGATCTTTTTATCATTTAGATTCTGATTTTTTATGTTTTTTCTTCTTAGCATTTGTTGGATTAAAACAAATTATCTTTCCCCTTGGTGTGCTATTGTAAAGGAATTCTTAGAAATGTGTCTATTACATACAAGCCTTGAATGCTGAATATGTACTTTGTCTAGACAACATTTCCAGTATTAAATCATTTATGATGCTATCTGTAAGGAATACTTGAGATAGTTCACCAAAAAGTATAGCACTTATTACTACACACGCACACACACAAATTCCCCCCAGTTTTTCTCCCTATTCGCCTAAACTACCAGTGCTTGTTTTTACATATAGTGTATTTCCCATGTACCAGCACACTTGATCAGAGACGCTTGCTGCTGCTAGATGTTTTATTCTGTGTGTTCTTTGTACCTTACAGTAAAAGAATCTGTCACAAATTATTGTGGCTCACTGCTTTAGAAACTGAGAAAAAAGGGAGGTTAGATTGACATCTGTGACTGAATAATGATGACCAGCCTTTTGGCTCTCCTTGAGCCACAAAGCTAGCACTGCCTTTAGAGTGGAAAAAGAAGTAAGAAGAAAGGGGAGGGATAAAAGAGAGTTACAAATCTGTGGTCCCGGAGATGTATTACTGTTGGGCCAGTTGTCTGCGTGGTATGATAATCCATTTTGATCTTCTCTGTCTTAATTGTCTGCTAAAGACAAATGGGCAGTAAAAGTTCATCAGTTTCATCTTTTTGCTTCTCGTTTAGAAGCAGAATAAATGATCCATCACTACAGAAGTAGCCTTTCTTTCTGACACGGAAGTAATGCAGACCCAACACGTTTTATTAAAATGTTTTCCCCTCATTATTTCAGTCCTCTCAGCTCTGATAGATCTTACTGTTTCATAAAAAATGTAATCTGAAATGTAAATAAGGGTCTTGATACAGAAGGAAGAAGTAATGAGCAGCCTGAGCCACATTTTAGGACTCTTGATTGTAATTACTGACAAAGTGATTTCTCTGTGCCCTGTTTTTTTTCTTTCTTTCTTAAGTTGTCTGTGACACCCTCAGACCGCAATGACATCTATGGTTTAAAACCATTAAATCACTGTAGCACTCAATATTTCATTTAAAATCTGGTAAGCCTGCTATCTTTAAACCTGAAAGTATAGGCTTTGTTAATTCCTGAAAGATGTGCAATGCGTATATTTTCTAAAAAAGGAAAACAAACAACAAAAAAGGCAAAAGCAAGGTCTTTTCAGAGTTCACATTATTTATTCATCTGCTTTTGTTTAATGCTTAGCTGGTTTAAATACTAAAATATCAACATTGGTAGGATCCTGACTTGAAAAGGATCCTGCATTTAAAAAGAAAATCTTCTAATAACTTACTTGTGAAATTTTAAAAAGGTATCTCTCATAAGGGTAATATGAAGTAGTGTAAGATTTTTTTTTTAGGGTTAGGCTTATTAAATTACAGATGTAATTTTCCAGTTACTTTGGTCTTGGTAGCTTAAAGCAGATTCTTTTCAATCTCTTACTATAAGTTTAGATCATGTGGCTCTTAATAAAGCCTGTCCAATAGAACATTTTTGTTAAAGAAGAACAGAATCACAATAATATTTTTTTTCACTTCTTTGAGAAATGGTTTCTCAAAGATATCAATTTGTTAATCTGGCATTAAAAATAAGAAAACAAAACACCAATATCTTCCCCTGCTAGAAATAGCCTTGTAGTTAATTAAGAGATTTATAATTATTCTATTATGTTTATGGTATTCATTCATAATTATGGAAATAATTGGTAAAACTTTACTCATTGTGATTAGTGCAGTTTTAATGACTACTAATTGAATTAAGGGAGAGAAGGATAGTGAAATTAACATCTTAGCAAACTATGGTCATCACTCTCATCAAAATCCCGTATTTGGCTTCAAAACATTGTATGATTTTTCAGAATAAAAAAAATGAGCCTTTAGTAATTATAACTTGTAGTATGGGATAATTTGGAATAAAGATATAGTAACCTCTCAGAAGATTTCCATAAATAGCCTTGTTATGTGTCAAGTATAAAAGGCATTACATACACCGTTTTAAAATGTGTTAGTTATAATACAATTACTTCTTGTACTAAAACAGGCAGAATTAATAATTTGTTCTCACAATTGCACTTTTTATAGCCTGTTTGTCCTAAGAGTGGCGATTAGAGTTGAGTGTGCTAGAAGTTGCTTCTCCAGTGCATTCATCTATATTTTGATGAAATATAGCAAGTGTCTTAGAGCTCTTTAAATAGAGGTCTGAGCACACTTACCTGCCTCTGTACATGTAGATCGCTGTTTAGAGTTGCAGGTAATTTTTCTTTCCACTGGCACTGAAATAGAGGTTATAATGAAACCAACAATCTTTATGCATTTATAGAAACTATAAAAATTTTATGGAAATCTTTACATAGAAACTAACAGTATTTCTTGTACAAGCTCTATAAGCAATGTAGAAACATGGTACATTGGGAAAAATAAAAAGGTACCTTTCTTTTATGGTTTTATATGGTCTATGTGATTTAAAAATTTCACAGTAGGCAGTTAAGCAAATTATAAAAACATACATCACCCATATACTAAAAAGGAACAAAAATACGTTGCATAACTTAGGCTAGTTGTGATGGAAATTGGCATTTCTGAGTTGCATGTAATTGCTTAAATGTGGAGTTTTCAT